ATAAGACATTTCCTACCCAGTTTGCAAAGGTCCTACTGACTTTTGGTGATGCGTTCCACCGTGGAAAGACTCATAAGACGGTCTGAAAACATTCCTACACAGGAGGGTAAATCTAAAGGTTTACTCAGAGCTTTGGGAATAAGATTTGGGTCAGAGTCATTTTTTCATAGGAGCATAAAACAAGAGGCTGGGAATTCTAGGTAACTGTCATCTGTGGGGAACTGAACTTCTGCAGAAACAGTGGAATACTTTCAGTGTATTTTTCTCAAGCTTTGCTTTTTTCTAGCTAAACCTGCAAAGATACCTTGTCTTTGGGGTGCATAAGGTTTTTGGTGTGACTTTGATAATGGAGAAGAGGATGTTTTGAATGAGAATCAGCTTTCCTAGTGCTCAGTGCCTACATTAATAAAAGGGAGTAAATTAACACATTAATAATGCACTTTGAAGAGAGGACTTTTGAGCACATTGATAGGTACATTTGTAAGGACTACTTACATGTCTCTGATACTAACCTAAATTCCTCACCCAGCTTTACTGCTTTCCTACTTAATCCTGCTTTTGCTGATTCTGTGATTCTATCCAAACATCGGGGAGTCTGACCAAGAAGTATGTTAATCAGAAGGGTTGAAAACATACTGTAGTGGCGGGTCATTGAGAATTAATTTCCTGATGACCTTTTAGGAAACCTCCCACAAGAAAATGTGCCTTAGGTAATGAGACTATTTTCTCTCAGATAACATAGGAAAGAAGTGGTTGGATGTCACCCTAATAAAGGGATTGAGATTTTTAGTCTTTACGCTGTGATTGTGGGAGAATTGGGGTGTGGATGTGGAAGATACACAACTACATTGAGACCTGTTAAAGCCCTTAGAGGAGGTGATTTAAGTTTCAAAGAAAAAGTACCTGAGATTAATTGAAATTGGAGACTACTTTTCAAGTACTTTCAAACACAAAGACCCTGTATGGTCCACGGTCCAATTGAATGTTACTCCTTGAAGGCCAAGGAGCAATGTGTTGGGAAGGGCCCTGAATCAAGCTTGATGCTTTGAACACTGTTTCTGAGCACTTCAAAGAGAGCTATTCAGTGGGAGAGGATATGACCCACGTGGCCGGGATGCAGTATTGAGACCCATGGGTAGTTTGATTGAAAAGCCTTTTCATCTCAGCATGAAGAAGATGCTTATAAGGGACAGAAACCTAACCCCTGACAGGGATGTGCTGATGAAAGGTCGATGCCAGTATCACTTTCTTGGCATGGGGAGACCAAACCAAGACAGTCGGAAAGCTTAATCTATGTGGGTTACTGAGGAGAAATGAGGATCAGGAGGCTCGTTTGACGATAGAATTGACCAACTGTGGGGCATGAATGAAGGGAAGAGATTTGTATGAATTCTGAGGAGCCGTGCCGGTAAGGGAGGAGTTGAGAGTTCTCTAAGAAAAGCAGCTAGGCCAGGTCATGGATCAGGGAGGACCCACATGGACATTTAATCCGAGCAGGAGTCCAATTATAAAAGGAAAAAATGTAGATATCAAAAAAAAGGTAATAGAAGAAAGGTCTTGATCCTCTGGTAACTGTTTTTCTAGCTAAGCAATTGAGAGGGTTCGTAGGACATTGAGATTGGCCAGACAATAAAAGTCCCTGAAAGAGAGACTTTCATTTCTAGGATCAGCTGGGATCAAAGATGGGATAGATAGACCTTGTCTAGGCTTGGAAAGAGCTTGTACACTGTAACTCTTGAATATATGTGAAGTGGACTTCACGTCGATTTTCTTTCTAGCAGTGGGTGGGAATACCACTGTGTCAATTAAAGGCATATTGCATAGAATCTTAAGTATTAGCCCATCTTCAAATTAAAATAGAAGCCTAAGTATAATAAAACCCAAGTGTCCTCTTTGCCTCAAATGAAATATAAAAAAGAAGTCAAAAGTAGAGACTATCAGGTTTAAGTTTTAACAAAAGCATTTTTGGAATAAGGAAAAACACTGTCTTTTGTCTTGAATTGTTACAGCCAATATTTTGCCTTTGTAAAAGAGACAGCCTCACTCATTTTATGGTAAGCTGCATAAGGCCCCCGCATGGTAGTCTGTCCTTTTTACCAAAAGGTCCCAGCCAGATCTCCACAGGCTGATGGACACCTGCTGTGTCAGCGTATTTGTTACTCGTTGGTCTTTCCTTCTGAGGGGCATTCCGAGGGATCTTTCACTATCCAGGATGCATTGTCATCTGACCATTATTGTCAAAAGACTTTTCCTTCTTCATAAAATACTGTGTCAAGTGTAAGAATCTTCCTTTTTGTAGCAGGAGGAATGAGGATACCTGAGTCATATCACCAGTGTCCATATTATGTAGCAGAATTCTCCAGGAAATATCTGGGAAAGAGAATGTTCTTGAGCACATTTTAATGGTGTTTGTAACTCTCTGGCCCTGGAACCATCCCCTTTGGGGAAAGAGAATGGGGAACTATTGGCCCTCACTCATTCCAGTGGTGCAAAATGAGCAACCTCTTCTGGCAGTTCGTGTCTGAGCAGAGGGTTGTGATTGAAATGGAGGCAGGAAATCAACACCATGGACCCATAATGATTCCTCCCCAGTGATGATCCAGAGATCCCCTTCCTGGACTCCAAGTGCCAGGGAAAGGTGTGTACCTTGAGATGGGGATTGGGAAGGCACCTGGCACCTCATCTGCTGTGTAGTAAGTTCCCTGTAAATTACAGTTCACCTGTTTTCAGGATGGTGTGGTAAAACTCATGAGCTAGGGAGTCAGAGCTGTGTTTGAATGCCACAGAAGAGTTGCTTATCTTCTCTGAACCTCAGAACTCCACAGTGATGGTGTTTCCCACCTTAAAGGATGGAGGCAAGGCTGCATGGTATAAACAAGAGCCAGTAGCTCACTGTAGATGCTCAGTGGGTGAGGCTGCCTCTCTTTTATTTCCTGGCCTTAACCTGTGTATGTCTGTATCTGACTAGCTTCTAAGGGGTTGATCAGTGCAGATCAGACATCACTGTTTATTTTTTTTTAATGATTTATTTATGCATACAGAAACTGGGGTGAAAAGCCAGAGGTGGGGGTGGTGGTGAGGAGATTCACCAGAGAGAGTGGGGAGCAGAACAGGTAGATGTACTGAAATTCACTGCTGAGGGGAGCAACTGATGAGACAGGAGAGGTCTGCTGCGCCATATGGGTTGCTCCCTGGCCAACGGGGATCGAACTGGTGCTGTAGTGGCTGGCAGTAGCTTGATAGCGCTGTCCTTAACCCCTGCGCCACCAGGGCGGCCCAGCCATTGCTGTTTAAATCAGAAATGGTATTAAATAAAGCTAATGTCTGTCAGAGTAAACACATCAGGCTTAATATTAGAAACTAGGACATTTATTTCCATAAAATCAACTCTGCTATAACATGTTCCTAACAATCACCAGTTGTACAAAATCATGCAGTAAAAACCAAAGGCTTATGGGAGGGAAATGGGTTAGGGCAAAACCCAAAGAGAATTGTCAGTGACATACCAAAACATAGGAATCTAATACTGATGGTAGCACAGCTTTATATGTTAAGTGGTTAAGAAATACCCAACCCTACCATACACATGCTGCATTTCCACAGAAGACCTGAAGTTTGCTTGGTGAAGCAGGTGTTGGAAGGGTTGGAACTTGTGAGTCTTTTGGCAAAGTGGTGAAAGGCATGTCATCTGAAATTGGATGGGAGATGTAACACCTGATGTGCACGTGTGTATTGTATCACATTGCAAACTGAGGTAGCTGGTAGTTGCATGTGGATTTTGCATATACCTATGTAACTGGGTTCAGCTCTGGGAAATTTTCTGCATCCATCTGTGTTTCTCTAAGACAAAATCATGCATAAGCAATCATAAAATTCACGCTGCGCTTATGTTGTCCTTCTTGCATCAGTCACATTGGAACAAATATGTGTTTTCAAAGCAAGTGTTTCAGCAGAACTCACTATGCTAGCTTTCCAGAAAAGGTCATCTTCCACAAGGCAGTACCAAAAGTAGAAGTAAATAAAATTAATGCAAAACATAAAGGCTCACAAGACCATTAAGATCTTTCATAAACTGCTAAGCATTATGTAAATATAAATCTTTACATCTTCATGTATCTATAGATAGAGTGGATGGATGGATGGATGGATAGATAGATAGGTAGGTTATTGTATTCCAAGGAAGTGGAGTTATTGTCAGGCTGCACTGAGTGTGGAATGAGAGGAGTGGGAGGATGGGTGGTCCATGACTGTATTTTGTAGTGATTTTGCTTGTGGACTATCTCTTTGGATCATCTACCTGGCTGTTCTTCCGTTGGCATAGATGAGCCACCCTTTGCACCCCGATCTCATGTTAACTTAGACACAGACCTGACCTGAGTAACGCAGTCAATACACAAATAGTATGCTGTATTTCTTGGTTCACCTAGGCCTCTTTTAAAGATCCTCTGTGAAAAATCCTATATTTTAAAAATAAATGTGATCATGAGTATATATGGTGCCAGGAGAACAGGGTTAGTCATATAATTTGTGACCTTATAAGGTAATGCTGGCTAAAAAGGCTGAAGGGTCCATAGATGAACTTTAGAAAGGACCATGAAAACCCAGAAATTGCCCTCAAATTTTTGTGGGTCAGGACATCTTGAAAGGAAACAGCCCTCAGCTTTCATCACATTCCTAAAGGGACCTTTGACCCTGAAGTGGCCAGGAAACACTGATTTAGAAAAATCCATGGTAGAGTTATATGGGTCAAAGCACGATCTTTGGCATATCCTAATACATTGAGGCCACAAAGTGGGAGCTATTATATTTTTCTCAAGGAGCCCTCTTGGGACCTACCATCAGTGACAGCACAGAGCTGTTTGAACTCTTGGGTTGATCTCGCATGTCATCTTTCCTGTTTCCTCTAAAACTAGCCACATCGTTAGTGGAGGACTCCCTTCTAACATGGATTTGGTCCTTTTCGCTGTGTATCTCATGAGCTGCTTGACTTTATTTTTCAGATGGGAGCAGCGAGAGCTGCCCAACGGGCGTGTCTATTATGTTGACCACAACACCAAGACCACCACCTGGGAGCGGCCTCTTCCTCCAGGGTAAGACCTCTCCACCATGTGCTGCCATGGCCATGGCTTTATTCTGTTTCCTCCTTTCTCACCCCAATGCTTTCCTTCTTTTTTCTTCCCACTTTGCTTTTCCCCCTTCTTTCCACATGCTTTGTATTGGCCTTGACAGATCGCCAGGAGTTTATGAAGTGGAATTCAGAGCGACCTTGGCTCTTAGGTACTGGAGGAACAGAGACTGGGCAAACCTTATGACCTGCTGGGGTCTCGGTGCCTGCAGTCATTTTATCTACAGAAAAATCCCGTGAGGGCAGGTTTCAGCCTATTTCTGCAGAGACAGAAAAGAACAGTGGTATTTATCTTGGGTCACATTATTGGTTTTCCTATTTGCTTCCCTTAATTCTGTTCTCATTTCTTAGAACATACGAGGATTTTTACAACATCTTCGGTGGGGGGAAGGGCATGAGGAAGCCAAGAGAGAATGGGTGTTGATGTATTTCACAGCACCCTGTGTCTTAACAGTTGCAGAAGGTCGTGTGCTTCTTGTTCAGCTGGGCCTGGTGAGACTGCAGCTAAGATCTCCAAACCCAGAGGATGAGTAAGGTTTCCAAGTGAGGGAAGAATGTCCAAGTTCAAGGAGAAGGGGTTTGTTTCCCTGTCTGCCAGGGACAGAAAGTTCTTTCCACATGTGTATCCCAGTCACTGAGCACTTTCAAAAGAAAATGTATCCTGCTCTCAGGAAAGAATCACCTCCCACTAAGCAGCCATGAAGCCCTGCATAAAATGTGAACACTTCTGCCTTCTAAACTTGTGGAGGGAAAGGGCGTCAGAGGGTGGTGAGTATCAGGAGAACCCCTGTGCTCTGTTCCGTTCAGATGTCAGGTGTATGCCAGGCAAATACCACCTAACCTTCTTGGCCTACAAATTTCCATGAATGGGCTGCTCTTAGTTTCAGTTTTTCAGTAAAATACTGCATTTTCCTTTTTCCCTTTGTTCTTCTGGAAATGAAACTCATAATCTGTCATCATTACTCTTCACTCTGTTCTCTACTTTGACTTTAAATCCAGGAAGTTTACCAAAGTTAAACCCTGGATTCTTAGAGAAAAATTAAACATTTGGAAATTATGGGAATATTTATATTATTATGGAAATTTTCAAATATGTACAAAGTAGAGAAAATACCCATACACCCAAAACTTAGCTTTAATAATTATCAGCTTCTGGCCAATCTGGTTTCATCTCTGTCAGGGCTTAGCAGATAAAATCCTGCAGATAAAATCCAGGTTTTGTAAATTAAAGTTTTATTGGGACACAGCCACACTCATTTGTTTACTTATTGACCATGGCTGCTTTCATGCTCCATGGCAGTCAAGCAATCGTGAAAGAGACTCTGTGACCTACAACACCTAAAATATTTATTTTGTAGAAAATAATTTGCCAAACTCTGATTAGAGTTCTTGCCCAACCCTCTCCCACTCCAACCTAGATTACTTTGAGGCAAATCCCAGACATCATCTCATTTTATTCATGTTTGGGCATATATTTCTAAGAAAAATGTTCTCTTACTGAAAATAAAACCATCACATTGTTTTTTTTTTTTTAAGATTTATTTATTTTTATACAAGAGCTGGGGTACAGGCCAGAGATGTGGGGGGTGAGAGGACCCACCAGAGACAGAGCGGGAAACAGAACAGGCAGACGGACCGAAGTACACTGCTGAGGGGAGCAGCTGGCGAGACAGGAGAGGTCTGTCCCGCCATGTGGGTTTCTCCCTGGCATGCCAGGAATTGAACTTGTGCTGCAGTGGCTGCGGATTGCTTCATAGGTTGCGTCTTAACCCCTGTGCCACCAGGGAGGCCCTAAAACCATCACATTGTTAACAGCATTTCCTTACTGTATCATCAAATACCTGGGTATCTCATGATTAATCGTTGATGTTTAGCATAGTGTGTGTTGCACACTTGTATTCTGGGTGTACATAGCATGTGTATTGGAAGCTTCAGTAACTCTGTAAGGCTGCTGCCTCTTAACCTCTTTAACCTCTAGGCTGGGTTGGCCTGGACTTAGTGAACATTCAGATAGAATGTGAAAAGATTTAATGGCATCTTCTAAGGATGCCCAGAATTTACTTTTCTTAAATATTGAGCTGGGACATTAGATCCAGTTTCCTTATTTTAAGGATATTTTAATGTTTTCCTGAGAGGTGGCTCAGCTCTGCACCCCACTAGTTCTTCCTGAGTTCAAGGCAGGAACCCCTGGCTCTTTCTTCAACTATGTCAAAAAGATTGGCTACTTAAAAGCATTTATTGCTTTTAAGGGGAGGAGCTCCCATCCATGGTGAGAGCAGTCTTGAAGTTCCACCTGGAGCCTTGATCTCAGCAGGCCTAGTCATCAGGGAGGAAGATGGAGCCACAGAATTCACTTAATCACTACCACCTCTTCTGTCAGATTCTTAGGACATTTGTACAAGAACTTATCTTTTCTAGGAGCAAAACACATTGGACCAGGTAGCTAAGGGGGAATGCGCTAATCTGCTCTTAAGTGTCTCTTTGGGAGTGCTCAGACCAGAACTGAGCATTGAGAGTGATCGCCACTGAGCACAGGGCCAGGAAGGCCTATGGAGGGAGGCAACTCAAACTGGGTCCTCAGGAAGGGCTGGACTGGAGTAAGAAAAGGATAGTACCTCCAATCTAGGTTGGAGGAACAGTGGAGGCACCTCATTCCCATGGGAATGTAAAGGATGTGTTTAGGGAATGATATATAGAGCAGCCTTGCTGGAAGGGAAGGTTTATGGGGAAAAGGATGTGCAGAGGGAGTCCAGCACAACCCTGAGGGTAGTGTAGGTGCCTGCTTAATCCAAGGAGTGTGAAAGGCTGGCTGGACTTCCAGACACAGCTCTGTTTTAATGTATTGCAATTCTGTGTCAGATTTCATCTGAAATCAAGGGCGGGGTCATGTGACTTAGAAGTGTGAAATTCACTAGTGCAGAGAACTCCTAGTTAAACATGTGCACTGAACATGTCTTTGTTTCCATTCCTTCCTGAAAACCCACCTAGGTGGCAACAAAGGTATAAAGTACAAACCCTCAGTGGTTAAGGAATAAAAGAGGAGAAATGGCATATGGGAGCTGTTAAACAAAGCTTAGTTGCTGATAGGTAAATTGTAGAATTGAGAAAGCTGAAATCTCAGGCTACAGTGAGGTGTCCATCAGGAAGCCAGGCAGCCTCCTCCATGGAGCCCTGAAAAACATCAGCGGTTGGAGATGCGCAGTGTTGTGTGTATGTGTGTATGTGTGTGTGTGTGTGTGTGTGTGTGTGAGAGAGAGAGAGAGAGAGAGAGAGAGAGAGAGAGAGTGAGATGAGACAGTTCAGTTTAAAATTTGTGCAGGGAGCAGTCAGATTCTTGGGTTGTAGTCAACCATCATTCTCATTCTTCTGCCACTGTGTATGCACACTCATTTCCTCCTTCCATTCCCCAGTCCCCCGCTCCACCCACCCACGCATACACAGCCACATGACTGCTGTTGGCCTGAGAAGATCCTTTGAGAACAGAACCAGCCTGGCAGACATTAGCTGAAGACTGGGATGGAGCTCAGAAAAAGGGATTAAGCAGGGATGCTGTCCCCAGGCTAACGATTGGAGAATTTTTTTTTGCTGGGAAAATTCACCAGTTGAAGAAAAGAGAACTACAGATTGTGATATTTGGGAATCTTCTAGTGAGACAGCTGAGTGAAGCCACTAGTCAGCTGGCCCCCACCTGGGTACACAGAACTTCCAGCCAGTGTTTCAGCCATTGACTTAAATACCAGTGAACAGCCAAGGACCAAGCAGATGGAGAGAAAAGGACTTGGTGAAAACAATAGAGGGAGCTGGGAAAACAACAACAACAACAACAAAATTTGTAAAAGTAAAATCAAATTATAATTCATATCCTCAAAGATTTGGGAACAAACATGGCATTTATGCAAGAGCAGGAGACCATGAGACAGGAGGTTCAGAAAACAAGAAAAACCAAGAGCTTTTTGAAATTATGTTTTGATAGCAGAAAAGTAAAATATTCAGTCCCTGTTAACAATAAGATAACGTTGGAAGTAAGAAAAGTAGATTAATTCCTCAAGAAAGACCAAAAAAAAAAAAAAAGATAGGAAATTATCAAAAAAAGAAGAAAAGGAAATTGTCAGACCTGAAGGATCTAGCATTTGCCCAACCCAGGCAATGAAAGCAGACCCACCCCAAGGCACATCCTGATAGAATTTTGAAATGACTAGAGGACATGTCAGAAGTGTCCAGAAGAAATAAACAGGGCAGGTAACATAGATCAGGAATCAAGAATACCATCCTTCTTCTCAACCGCAACTCAGGGTCAGAACATTCAGAATTCTGATGGAAAATTATTTCCTATTTAGAAACCAACTTTTTGTCATTTTTAACAACTCAAGTATGAGGATTAGGGGGAAAAAGGCATCTTCAGATATGTACAAGCTTTCAAAAAAATTAAGTTTCATGCAGCCTTTCTCATGAGATGCAGGAAACTCAATTCAGAACAGAAGCTCAATTCAGGGGCCAAAAGAATTCCCCAGATGAAGACAACTCCTCCAGACAGTGGAGCAGGCCTGGAGGAACACTGTCCCTGTGAGAAAGGAAGGTGCTGGGAAAAAGGGGCCAAAAGATGAATAAATGACACTGAAGCCTCCTGTCCTCACAGAATCTGCCAGGTTAGATACAAGGCTTTGAAAAGCAAGCAGAATAAAATAGGATTGTTCTTTGCTCAATGACAAAATTTTAGAAACTGGGATACTATTTAGCTGCAAAGAAAGATGTAAATGCTGCCATTTGTAGCAAAATAGAAAGAGCTTGAGGAAATTATGTGTAGTAAAGCAAATCGGAATAACAAAGACAAATATTGAACATTTACACAGTGTATGATTTGACAGTAAAATACTTTCAGTAATTAGTGGTCATTAATAACCAAAGCTAGGTTTTGAGGTTAAGAGAGAAAGGAGAGGGAGAAAAAGTTAAAGGGGTGTAAGGGATAGTGGCAGGGGGGAAAGTA